AGCCTCCTCCCAGAAGGTAACAAGGAAAACAGGTCGTGAAGACATTGTGTAGTGTCCCAGACGATCTTGCAGACCCTGCTTAAGCAACGCTTATATGCTATGTCCTGGATGGAAGGGAGGGAACTGCCAATGATCTTTTCAGCCGTCCTCACCACTCTCTGCACCGCCTTCCTGTCTGAAGCAGTGATGCTTCCAAACCAGATTGTGATGCTGTATGACAGGATGCTCTCAATCGTCCCCCTGTNAATCGTCCCCCTGTAGAAAGTGGTAAGGATAGGAGAAGGAAGATGTGCTTTTCTCATGCGACGCAGAAAATGCAGGCGCTGCTGTGCCCGCTTCACCAGTTTCTCACTGTTGAGCGACCAAGCCAGCCTACTCGTTAGCTGCACACCCAGGAATTTGATGCTGGTAACCATCTCCACAGGTGAATCATTAATGCACAGAAAAGTGTGGCTGTGCCTGCCTTTTCTGAAATCGACAGTGATTTCTTTGGTTTTTCCGGTATTTAAAACTAGGCTATTTTCCTGCTAATCTTCTCTGTATCGTTCCAATTTTAGTATATGTGCTGCCGAAGTGAGCACTAGGCTGTCAAAGGAGGGTAGAGCAGGGGCGGGTCCACCCGGAGTCTCGGTGTCCTCCTGTGTGGGGGGTGTAATCTGGGCAACAGGTTCTTGCGTGACCCGTTGGATTTTTCTCTCGTTAGCCGCTGGGCAGGTTTCCTTCTCGCCGCTGGTTCCGGTCTGCTCTGTAGTCGGGGGTAGGGGACTGGACAGTTTGCTGCTCGATGTCCCTCCTGTTCGCACTGGAAACACTTGATTGACGGGCCTGTAGGTAGTCTGGGTTTGTCAGCCATCGCAGTAGTTGAAGGTTTTCGTGGGGTTCATTGCTGTTCGGGTTGCTCTTGCTGCTTCTCGGATTCAGGTGGGGGAGGCTTCTTATAGCGGGCGAGCTGAATGTCTAGCTTCACTGCTGCCTGGTACCATTCTTGCAGCTGATCAGGTACTGCTCGATAGATGCAGGCCTGAGAGAGGTGATCGTCTAATCCCTCAATGAAGTGATGGATTAGGGATTGTTCAGGCCACCCCTCTATTCGACCTGCTATCTTGCGAAATTCTCACACATAGTCCAGGGCAGGCCTGCCGGCTTGTTTTATTTTGTGGATTTGTTCTCTTGCTTTGAGACCAATAGATGGATCCTCAAATCTTTCTCTCAGCCCTAGGAGGAAGAGGTGGGGGTCCTCCAACTCGGGGGCTTGCTCATTATATAAATTGTTCAGCCATTCGGATGCTTCTCCCTCCAGGCTGGACGCAATCACATCGACCATGGCCCCCGGGTCCGGGTAGAGATAGGCCCAGCAATTCAAATGAGAACACACTTGGTTGAGGAAAAAAATCAGCTTCTCTGGGTCCCCATCGAAGGTTGCGCTGAAAAGTGGTGCAATTATAGGCTGTTGGGGCCCCCACGGTGGCTGTTGCTGCTGGCCCTATCCTGGCTGCAGATTTATGCCCAGGGGTTGCACGTTTGGGGGCTGTGGTCAATCTCCTTGCTGTGGTCGTTCTCCCACCAGCTGCTGATCTCCTGGCTTCTGCACCACCCCAAGCTGTTGCAAGGCCTCTATTAGTTGCGGCAAGCTCAGAGGTCGTTGACTATCTACCTGCTGGGGAACCCAATCTCCCCATTGCTGCAGAGGCCTCAGACTGGGATTCCCTCTCTCTTCAGGGTTGGAGTCCCTGGTAGGGGAAGACAGGATCTGAAAGGCTTTCTGATCTGCAATAGAAGGGCTGTAGGCTCCTCTCTGCAGGAATTGATTTCTGCTTTTCACCTCTGGGTTTTGAAATCTTTCCAGTGACTCACCCAAAACTTGAGTGGCAGGCAATTCGTTAGCTCTCCACCATTCTGCTTTTGAAGTCTTTGCTCCCAGCTGGGAGATCTGCCAGAGTTCTTTCTCCCCCGGCTTGCCAGCTATCGCTCTCCCCCCCTGGGGAAGCTGCTGCTGCCGGGGTGCTGGTCTCAGGCAATCTTTCTTCTTCCATAATGAGATCTTCCCTGAATCTTCGTCAGCCCATCCCTTTAGTTTAGGAACGGCGACTGGGGCTGGGGACCCCTAAATGATTTGAAAAGTTTGCAGATCTTGGCATGATGTCATAGTTCCGACTAATGAAACACTTCAAAGAACTTCCAAGCATTGTTTATCCTTAAAGCTTTTATTACAGTGTAACAGAGTGTCGGCACACATGGATGGATGCCAAGATCTGAATTTCCCTTCCTTTGCACATAACATTCCAGGCTATTCCCCTCCCCTATTTTGTTGTCATGATTCACATTTTCCAATCAAGCTGGAGGGCAAAGATTTTCTGTTCCCTTCCTGCGCGCAGTCCTTATCTTTCTCCTCCCCCCCACCATCATCTGAATTAACTCTAAAAATACCAGACAGTTCTGCATATCTTGTCAAAGCAATAATATCCAATATTAGCAGCGTTGACAAAATCCTCTTTTGCTTTCTATCAAGCTGTGAGAGACCAGCTACCAGTGTGGCTCTTGGAAGACGCTTGCGGAAAGCAAGCAAGCGAGATGGGCAGGGGTGCGAATTGGCGTGTGCTCAGAAACGCCGATCTCGTGCTCCTGCTCATCTCACTTGCTTGCAGAAACAAAATTCAGAAGACACGGAAAGGCATCAAAAGCTGTTGATAGAAAGCAAGCAGAAAGCGAGATGGGCAGGAGCACAAGATCGGCATTTCTGAGCACACACCGGTTCGCGCCCCTGCCCATCTTGCTCGCTTGCCAGCGCCCACAATCTGCCCGGCCTCCCCTCTGACTGCTTTGCGCAGCTCCTCCTGGCCCCCTTGCGCCCGCTGTTAACCCTCCCACCATGCAGGGTAAGGTTGGCGCCCCCGCCCAGATGCCCTCGCCTCCCCCAAGCATTTTTTTACTCACCTGCTTTCAGCTGCACTCCCTTTCTCCTTTTGCTTCTCTGCCTTCGTTTGCTTCTCTGCCTTCGCCACGTGTTTGTGGGTAAAAAAGAAAAAAAGTTCCATGAGACTTTCTAACTTCTCGCGAGAAGTTAGAAAGTCTCATGGAACTTTTTTTTTTGTCTCACAAACACATGAAGGCTGAGAAGGACAGGAGAAAGGGAATGCTGCTGAAAGCAGGTGAGTAAAAAAAACGTGTGGGGGAGGTGAGGGCATCTGGGGGGGTGGGGGGACCCAGGCAATGCGTTGCGCAGCTCCACCGGAATCTCCACTGAAGACTGCTTGAGGCTGCCTGCTACCCCCAAGGCTGCCGCCAATCAGCTGGAGCTGCGCGCTTTGATCCTGGGCTCTCAGTAGGACCCAGGCAAAGTGCAGTTCCAGCTGACTTTGCCACACGCCTGTGCAGCGCTGCCGCCGCTTCACCTCATCCACTTTTACGCCTTTTTTTACATTTTTTTTACAGTGCTGTTCAACTTGTCCTACGCGTACCACCAGCCAGGTGCTTGCGTACCACTGGTGGTACGCGTACCACGGGTTGAAAAGCCCTGATCTAGACAGTGGTGGCAGCGGCTTATCGGGTCTGGCATTGCCTCTCTGAGGCAGACCGCAGCGGGGGAAGATGGGGGTCCCCCCGGATCCAGGGATTGACCTGACTTGAAACGGAGGAGGAGGTTCGGTGCTTTCCTGCAGCCTCAGCATGGCCAGGACTCTCGGAGTGATCTGGTAGGAAGGGGGGGGGGTTTCCTAAGGCAGGGATAGCCCCAGGGTCTCATCCCTTCCTCTAGGGGCACAATGCTCATGGGGCTGGGGTTGGTGGCTTCCATGAAAAGGAGGACCAAATTCTGTAAGCCGCTTTTCCGTGCAAAAAAACCCAGCAAGGCTTGCCAGGTTAGAAGCAAGGGTTTGCGTTATCCCGTGTGGAATTGTCCCGTGGTGAGTTGGCTGTGGTGACATGGCCATGGCAAGCTGTCCTAGACCCATTGCAATCACTTCTCTGATCAGACAAAACCTCCCTGGTGGTGTTCCTAACCTTGCTGTTCAACATGCTAGCAATGGGAAGCATAAGATCCTCTTTTATATCCAGTGGTTCTATTAAATGAGTGGGGAGGTCACCTCCTTCGTTCTTGTGTGACCTCCCACATGGGTATATGAATTGTTCTAGCCACATGTGGTGTTCTGAAGGGATTCCTGTCTGTTCCGCCATGCTACTTTGCCAACGTCAGGGAGGAGAGCAAGGGCACCCTCACTGCCACTTCTGAGTTGAATGGAGAGGCCTGTGATGGAATGTTGGTTTGACTCAAAGAGAAGTAGAATGAGAATGCCAAACCATTACAGAGAAGATATTTGTATTCTGGGAAAGTGTAAAAGCATGAGAAAGAAAATCAACTCTGATATGATTAGGTATAAGTTGAAATAGAGAAGGGCTTTGATAGGCTCACAACATTTATCCACATTAAAGTACATTCCAAGACTCCTAATGTTTTCTTTTCCTGACCTTCCCTACCTTGAAGGGCTGACAAGATCTTTAGTCCTGTCATATCTTCTCCAGTGGGAGAAAAGCAACCTCACTGTTTCCAGTGATCCACTCATCTGCATGTGAATCACAGTTTCCTCAGCTTGAAAAAAGGGGAAGAGCAGAAAACCACAGATCTCCTCAAGCCACTTTTTGGGAGAAACAAAAGGAGGCAAACTTTTCTCCACTGATTGTTGCAGCTGCTTTTACCAAGCCATATATGGTTCCCTGTGGCTGAAGGTTCTTTGTTCAACTAAAGTAGCTCAGGTTCAGCCCTACAGGAAAAAAATATGTTTCGTTTCCTTCCTTCCTTCCTTCCTTCCCTCCCTTTTTTCTAAACTTTTTTTGCTTAGCCACTTCTGCTCACTGTAGTTTACTTAGCCTGAATTTCATCATTGTAAACCACATTTTTGGGATTCTGACTTACCAAACATAACTTTGTCCCTCAGCAAATAAACATATTTATCCTTTTTATGAAAAAGTTATATTACATTAGTCTGCAGTGAACATTGCATTACCATGGGAAGAGGGTCCAATCCATCCAACATTCGCCTGACATTGTTCACAATCTCCCTGGTATCATAGTTTGGAATCTTACATGCCCATCCTGTACCGATGCCCTCAGCACCATTTATTAAGACCATAGGAATTATGGGAATGTACCATTCAGGTTCCACACGCTGGTTATCATCATATAGGAACTTAAGAAGGTTATCATCTACTGCAGGAAAAAGTAGTCTTGCTAAAGGGCTTTAAAGAAAATAAAAATAAGACTTTTGGGTTATTTCAGTTTATAATTCAGTAAACTGTTAAACTGAATTGTTGTAGAACTTACAAGTTGTTAAACTAAACTATTTTTGAAATTTATATAGCAACTCATCTCACAAAAGAAGTGACTTTTATTCTCTTTAAAAATGAATTAGAAGTCTACAGCCATTCTAAATATTATATAGTGCACCTAGTGAAAATCTCTCCTCATGCAGTGTAATGTTAAAGAAACTTTCAATATGCACTGAGACTATTTGAATCTCTGAATGGGATGCCTATAAGTGCATAAAAACCAGACCTCCCCCTGCATCTGGTGTATGATCCAATCAAAATCACTTAACATGTTTCTGAACTTCATGGATTTTAAGTGTACTACATTGGAAATCACTTTATGCCATTAGAGACCACTGACTGCTTCAGCTTAGTATGTCTACATGAATTGAAGCTTCATGTGGCATTTTTAGTCAAATATGTCCATAGCAGAACACTATTTTGATTCTAAAACCTCAGTTACTGTTATTACTACCAAATGTCTTGCAGATCTTATGCAAAAATTATCAGATTGCATGAAAAAGTACCCTTTGATCCCAACTGAATAGTAAGTTATACAGAATTCTTGCCAAGATTTCAGAAGAGGTTTGCCATTGTTTCCTTCCTAGGGCTGAAAGAGAGTGACTGGCCCAAAGTCACCCATCTGGCTTTGTGCCTAAGGTGGGTCTAGAACTCATCCTGGTTTCTAGCCTGGTACTTTAACCACTACACCAAACTGGGTGTCCCTTTCTCTTATACAAAATACAAATTGAATGAAGGTTTGGCATTTTTCATTCTGTCCCTTTGTTTTTTGCAAGTTGTGGGGTTTTTGTTTTTTCATTTTAGGTATGTTGGGGAATTAAATAGGTTCTTGTATAATCCACTTTTGGAGTATGGTTTTCATTGTGCTATGCCCTACAGCCCTTGAGTTGACCAAAATGTTGTACTTCTGGACTAAGGAATTGAAATATTTATGTGGGTATTTCTTTCTAGTTACAGTATCCCCCACAATAACAATAATATACTTCCCAATTTGGTATTATTTCAAATAAAGCTCATTTCAATTTCTGTTTTGAACTAAACTTTACCTCAACATGGTGAAGATGTAACGAGGACTTGCAGCATCCTTGCCACCATGAAGCCTTGTACCAAACTGACCAACAGGCTGCAGCAAACTGACATTATTACTTCCAACAAAGTTCTGAGCCAAGTTGACAATAGTCATCATTAAAGCTTGCTAGAAAAAAAATATTAAAGTATTGTTACTAGCAAGTGGAAAACACAAATATTATGAGACAGTATAGAATAAATTGCTGATAAAACTACTTAAGGCTCCATCAGGTATGAAATTGGTCAGAGGAAAAAAAAAGAACAGCCCCACCCCATTATGAAATGACACACATTGTCAAGTTATCACTTTATAAATTATTCATTACAAACAACAGTGTTGGTGATGAGCATGGTTATGAGGAATTGGGAACTAAATGGAGTATTCTTTTTTTCCTCTCATTTGTCCCTAAGATTACCACAGCTGAAGCAAGAAGTCCTATCTTTTCACATCTGCCTATCTTGTTCCCCCAAATTATTCTTCCAAAATAATTAAAGTAAAACAGGCATTTTTTTTCTTTCTATACCCACCTCTCCATGGTGATAAGCAGACATCTCGGCCACAGAGCCAGCTAACTGAGCAACTTTAACCTCCCGTTTATCATTTCTCTTAAAGCAAGTGTACAAAACTTTACGCTGCCCTGGTTTAAAGCCTGAATTAAAACAGAAAAGGGCATATTTCAAAAGTGTAGTCTCTCAAAGTATTGCCAATATAGGAAAAAGATGCTTAATAAAACTGCACATTTAATCAGAAGCTCTAAATATATTTATGCATGTTAAATACAGTAAAATTATGTAACAAATACAAAGAACTGTAAATGTATCAATTTCTCATTTCCCAGTAAAATCTAATTATTGTTTTCTAAAATCATCAACACTTAATCCCATGACTATCTACAAAATAATTCAGTTCAGTTAGCAAGTCCTACATTTGATCTCCCGATACATGCCATTATAAAGCAAGCAAATTTAAGGGTAGTTTTACTACAGTTTCATTTGGAAAGAAGACAAGTGAATTAAAGAATAGCAACAACATCACGCACAAACATTATAGTTCAAGCAAAATTATTGTTATACATAAAATCATCTGATAGGGTATTCTACTACGTATCAGAGTTATCCATGAAAAAGTCTAATATTAATGCCAAGCTTAAAAGACAAAGGGAATGAGCAGTTTCAGATGTACAATTCAACTGCTAAGCCATTGCTGGAAAGCCATATATTTTATGCCTTTTCCTCCCTCTGTTTTTTTATTGGTTTGCCATAACCAAACAAGCTATAGTTATTAATACTTAGAAGTACTTCCAAAATATTTATAGACTACTTTGAACAATAGTTTCAACTTAAAGTATGAATTTAATTTCTGTTTAATACTAAAGAGTGCTTATAAACTGTACATCTCTGAAAATTATGGCTAAAGGAACTAAACTTTTTCTAGAGAGAAGGATGAAAATGAAAAAAATGCAAATAACAGTTATCTACTTTCCAATATAGTTACATATTTAAATGATAAAAAGAAGACATACATCACAGAAGTTCACTCACCATCAAGAGATGGGATGGATCGCTCGTTATCAGAGTTGGAAAAGAGAATCAATTCCTTGTTGATAAAGTCATTATAAGTGAGGTGCTTTGTCGCGGTACCATACAGAAATTGCTAGAAGAAATAACAATTATTATTACTTTAACAGTAACAAATAACATCATTTATTTCTCCTTAATACTCCAACGTTACCTCTGGTAATCCATGCAACCGACGCTGTCTTCTATCTTCCATGAAATTTGTCAGCCATTCTTTTCTCTCTTCAATTTTTTTCTTACTGAAGGCCTACAAAAACATAACACAAACCGTTCAAGACTACAAAAAAAAATAATAGATTGGGGTGACTATAAAACAGCAAGTTTTAATCAAGGTCCAACAAAGAAGCAATACATTAGAAATAACTAATAACTATAAGCTATGTACTGAATAACTGCACATGACCAGAGGTCAGAAAATAGTGTGTCCATCCCATGCTACATCCTAAAATACGTAACAGAAGCTAATGGTAGCATTTTTCTTTTACAAAAAATCCTAATCTGAAAGCAATCTAATAATCTGTGTATGACTTGTACACTGCTTCAAACATGTAGTAATGATTTAGATTAAGTTCCTATGCTTTATCAATGTTTGCAGTTTCTTTTTATTCCCTTTATTCCCAAATAAACAGAAAAAAAGAAAACTGGAAAGAAAAAAAGAAAAAAGCAACACAAGACCCATGGGGGGAAAACTAGTTTTAAACCTTGAGTCACAGAAAAAATATTGCTCAGTCTTTCCATTATTTTGACAAAGAGTTAAAACTATATACCTAGAGTGGCAACATTTTTCTGCTGCAGAACAGTAAGTTTTTTGCTGCACCCTAAATTCAATAAATCCATAGCAATCCGTCTAATTACATATATCACTACTGAAATAATCTTCATTTAGATTTGAAATATTTAAATCTACAAATAGAGATAATTTATGAACAAGTATATAAGTGTGATAAAGGTTATGATAGACATGGGAACCAGTATCATAATCAGAATGTTCTTCTTGTTCTCCCCTTCCTTTTCACAAGACCAACACAAATTTCCTTCCCTACATTATACTGACAAAGCTTTATATGCTTTCCAACTCAGAAAACATAATACCATCTTATGACAGGGCAAATATAGCATCTCATAAAAGAGCCGTGGTGGCGTAGTGGTTAGAATGCAGTATTGCAAGCTAACTCACTGCTCACTCCAGGAGTTCGACTCTGAATGGCTCAAGGTTGACTTAGCCTTCCATCCTTCCAAGGTTGGTAAAATGAGGACCCAGATTGTTGAGGGCAATAGGCTGACTCTGTAAACCACTTAGAGAGGGCTGTAAAGCACTATAAAGTGGTATATAAGTCTACAGGTGAAACTCGAAAAATTAGAATATCATGCAAAAGTTCATTTATTTCAGTAATGCAACTTAAAAGGTGAACCTAATATATGAGATAGACTCATTACATGCAAAGCAAGATAGTTCAAGCCGTGATGTGTCATAACTGTGATGATTATGGCTTACAGCTCATGAAAACCCCAAATCCACAATCTCAGAAAATTA